TTTTAAATTAGATTTCTGTTTTCCTCTTGTTGATGTCGATGTAGCCTGGCTTTAGGAAGGACCTAAAGTTTGGTGTTTTTTTTTTTAGGAAGGACCTAAAGTGGTTCTGAGTTGAAGGTCTAGTGGGAGGAGGCAAAAAAAAAAAAAAAAAAACCCACAACAAAAAACCCCAAAAAACCCCTTTTTCACATGTAAGTTGAGCACATTCGATATGGAAATCACTGTGAAGCTCTAAACATGAAACCTTATGTTTTTGGTTTTGCAGCAGTGTTTGTGGCAGAACTACCTTTTCAATTGCAGAAGAGGACAATGCAGTGCTACAGAGCAAATTGCTAATACTTTGCTAAGGAGCTAGGTTTCTTTTGTAGCTATGGAAGCTTGGGTGGTTAGTAGGTGGATTTTTTAAAAACTATTTTGTTTATTTCTTTTTAGAATAGCACTTTATATAGGTGAATGAGAATGTAACTGGGACCTCTGAAAAGGACCACTTATGAAAAGCACATTAAAATGAAGAGGAAAATCAGAAGGCAGTACACAGTGGCTTAATGCTATCTACTTATTTCTGAGAACAAAAGACATTTATTTTGAACCTGTCTTCTTTATTCATTTACTGGGAAGTTTCCTGCTAATGTAGCTCAGTGGTGGTACTGCTACAGATATTGTACCTATAAAACTTCTCTGCTCTGATTTAAAGAGATGCGCTTTGGTAATTTACAGTGAAAGTTTGTTGGTTGAGAAAAATAAAAGGATTCAATGAAAACTAATAGTAATAAAAATGCCTTTTATGTGGCACGTTGTTTCATTTTTTGTCCAGAGGTAGTTTATTAAACGATTCAGCTGTGTACAAAACAGATCTCTATGGCATTGGGATAACACAGAACTGGGGAGCAAGAGCAATGATAAAGCTTTTGAATCTGATGCTATGGATGCAGGTGATGTGTTAGCAGGCCTGCTAATGTGGGGGCAGAGCTGTGAAGGGTACTGAGAGAAGAACCGAGTGCCAAGGTATGTCTTTGCCTTAACTGCAGTAGACAGATTCAGGCAGATACAAGTTCAGGCTACCTGTAGCTCCAAGCCAGTAGAGTCTGGGCACGTGGTAGTATTGTACTTGTGAGAAGTGTGCTAGCTCACTGCTGATGTGGTTCAATATTCCAGATCAGTGTCGTCTTTGTGCCTGGCTAGCTTGGAGCAGAGGAAGAGGAGTGTGTCACCATCTTGATTCATCCACCTGCACATAGCCTATGAGAAACCAATACTGAGGAAAGTGTTTGCATTAGCCCAGTGACGCATCTGGAATTTTTTTCAGGGTAGCAGAAACTCAGATTCTTAGTTACAAATCCTGCCTTGGATTTTTTTTTTTTTTATATTAGCCCCATCAGAGGGTATGCCATTTCAGTGGGTTTGTGCTGTGATACGGTGTCACTTTCCTTCCTCCCTTCTCTGCATTTGTTCAGAGCTCCTTTAAGGGTCCTACAAGCTCTCTGACAAATATGAGTGACTCAGCCACTTCTGTGGTTTGTGTACCAAATATATCATGGCACGTATAGGTATGATACCTCCCCTTCTTGATCTTTCTGCCTGCAGACTGTACGTCATATTTCCTGGGATAAATCCCCTTGAAGTATTCAGAGCTGGATGTGTTTCCCGGTCACGTGCTGAAGATATCAGTCCATACGTCGTAGTTTATGTTGTTCTTGCAGTTGGCCTCTCCGGATCATCTCCCTGCTACGTGCTTCTCTCACTGTTGTTTGGTGTTCTGCTGAACTGGAGTTCATTCAGAACAGCTCTGTATGTGTTGTCATTGCCCCCAAAGCTCCTGCTTTAAAGGAGATACACCACGTACCAGCCAGCTGTCTTCCTCCGCATTCATCTCCTAGGGACCTACCTGAAGTTCAGTCTGATTTTCAGTCTGGTTTGTTTTGTCTGGTGCTTGCCATTCATTGCCCACTGAATTTTGGAGATCAGGCTATGGTGTCTAGAGGAAAAGCTATGTAGTATAAACCACCTCAGCTCAAGTATGTTTTCAAGGACTTACCCTTAGCAGTAATCAATCCTGCCTCCCCTTCCCCTCTCCGCTTAAACTAGAGAAGGCAGCAACTGAAAATAATATTTTTTTATATATGTGCGTGTATATTCTAGAATATAGCAAGGTGAAATGTAATTTCCTTTTTAATAAAGGCTGCCATTTAATTTAATATTATAGAAAATGATTAGATCTTAAAAACCTATAAATTACATTTGACAACTCTCTGGTGCTCCTTTGCTATTCCTTATGGCAATTATAAATGGCAACACTGGGTGCTGGCAGAAATGCTCATTCTGACTGGAGTTTGTTTATTGGCTCCTAATGAAAAGCGATTAATCTAAATCGCTACCGGGGTGGATACTTCTCCCTGGCCCCATAATGAGAAGTGGCGGTTTCAGGCCTTTGACAAATGTCCTGCTATTTCCTCTGCCAAAAATATGTCCCCTCCCCCTGTAGCTTCCAGCAGAAAAAAAAATAAAGCCCAGAGTCTCCCATTCTTCTTGTCCTGCTTGCCACATCACAAAACTGTGGACCAGTCCTAGCTGCATGACTGGTGGTGGCCTTTTGTTTTTCACTCCAAGCCTCCTGTTTCTTCCATCCTGCATTGTGTAGGATCAGCCTTGCCTGGGAGGAGATGCCAGGTCTGTTCTTTTCTCCATTTGAAGAATGGGGGGTTGATATCAGACGCGGGAGAGTGGGCAACTTATGTGATGGCACTTACAACAAGATATGACTGTTGTTAAACTCTTCTAGCTTTCCCTCTAGCTGTTAATTTTCCTAGCTTGATGGTTTTATTATTTGATCTTGCAACCACTGTTATGCTTCCAGAGGAACAAATTGCCTCGCTTTGTGAACCAGCTGGTAGAAACATCACCTCTTCCATCTCATCTGACCTATTTCTTGCACTATCCACCGAAGTGTTGCAGATTATGTGTGAAAGGGCAGTGGATGTTTTGCGTGTGTACCACATCAGGTCTATGCAACTGTTAGCTGTCTTGTGCTCCTTATCTGAGGGCAGAACTCTAGCAGTGACCTTTTAATATACAGCACTATTAACTTTGTGACCTTCTGCGACATCAGGTGGAAAAATCTGTTTGTTCCTGAAGTATCCTTACTTTTAAATGTAAGATCTCTCTGGAATATCTTGTATTGGCAATCTTACATCCTTCTTCCATTCTGCAGATGCAAGTGATTTTTACTAAAGTATGTTACAGTTCTCTGTCTGGCACAGGCAATATGCTTTAGATGAACAGGGGTATACTTGGGGGACAAAATGTCTTTGAAGTCTAAGTCACCAGTGACAGAAAAAGTATCTTCAAATAGTGGGGAAACCTTTCTTGTTTGGAGCAAAATGAAATACGTATTTTGATCTGATTAGAAAGAAGAAGTGTACCAAAGCTTCCTTCTAGGTGGAGGCCACGGGACCTGTTCTCAAGACTGATTCCCAGGGGGTCAGTTGCCTGTGGGGATGTTTCCCATTTCCCGTGCTGTACACCAGAGCACAATGCAAGTGCACTTTTTCAGGACTTGTGGTGTGGCTTTCTGTGGGAACAGGTAGGAATTACTTTATGAGGCTGGTAAGCGGTATATGTGAGGGACGTTGAAGGAGCTCTGAGCTCAAGCTGGATTCATACAGGTGGCTTCACCCTGGGACAATGTTCAGTTCTAGTTTTAAAGGCCCTTTTAATTTCTTAATGGAAAGGATCAGAAACCATTTACATTATATTCACTTTCCCTTGGTGACTTCATGGAGTTAATGAGGTGCTTAAGATTAAACAAGTGCTGAAATTTTTTGCTTGATCAGGGTCTAACATAGCAAGGGTCTTACCATTCTTTGTAACTGATTTTTGCTGTCAAAATTACTGTGTTTCCCTACCGCAGTCTTGACGTTGGAGCTCTATGAAGGTGGATAAGAAAAGTTAACGTGGACATGCTAGTGTAACAAAACTCCGCTAGCAGAGTTTTGTTTTCTGCAGCTAGCTAAAAAAGTCAGTTCCTGAATCTGTTTTCCTGCTGAAAGGCAGTTTCTATATTTGTTTCAGCTACGGTATCAATAACCTGCTGTGTTTAGCACAGCTCTAATTTATTTCCCACTGTTTGCCTTTATTTTATGGTACTGGCATTTGCTTTAATGTGATGTCGTTTTCTCCAGATGTTAATAAGATGGTGTTAATGTTTCCACAACATTTTTTTTGATAACATTTATGTAGAGCATACCATCTGATAATGCAGAATCAACCCATTTTAAAATATTGGTAATAATTTTCTAATTAAAATTAGAGGCTCAGAAGTGTTTTCTTCTCTGTACAAATTGAGGTCATATACTTTCTCGTGCTTGGGGAAAACTATGTGTTCACTGGGTAAAGGAACATATCCTGCTATATAAATTGGAAGCATGATATATGAGATTGTGTGTCAATGTTTGCAAACGTGCACATGGACTATTTTCAGATGCTAGCAGCTGATCCAGGTAGGCATTCTGTGTTTTCAGTGAGGTGATGCTCTCATTTGTAGCTCCACAAGTTGCCAAATAATGAGCCTTAAATCTCAGGAGTGCCCTGTTGTGTACTTTTGGAGAGAGTATTCCACATTTGGGAAGAGAGGTGGTAGACTGGAAAGGGACCAGGAAAGCCTGATGTGGCTGTCTGAAGTTGCTATACTGAACCAAAATCATCTTTGACATCAACGTAGCATTTTTCATTCTTGTTAGGTTTTCTTTTTTTAATCTGGATAAAAATAAAATTAAAAAAAGGAGTCACTGAATGAATCTATGAATGAATCATCAAATAAAATGGAAGTGAAACACTACCTTCTTTCCTCTCCCCCTATTTGGGAAATCTTACGGGCTGATTATACTGTTGAGCAATGTTCTGAATGCATCTAATACGAATCAGTGCTGTATTGCCCTCACTTTTAAATGATGTTCAGTTTTACTTTTCCGTTAACATTCTTTTCCCTCCATTCTTCTATTTAGATCATGCTTCTTAGTGATCCAGAGATTGAGAGCAGCATCCTCATCAGCTCTGATGAAGGGGCAACTTACCAGAAGTACCGTCTGAACTTCTATATCCAGAGCTTGCTCTTCCACCCCAAGCAGGAGGAGTGGATCTTGGCCTACAGTCTGGATCAAAAGGTGAGCAATTGATATCATATTTCAATGATTATTGAGGCAAGTGTGGAAAGGGACAGTGTGTAGAACTGCACACTTCTAGAGATCATGAAGAAATTATGGCGTGCTTTGCTGTTCTTGCTTTGCAGGTTTCAATGTGCACAAACCCTACCCACTAACTCAAAAGAGAACTTGCTAAAGGGAATGGAGTTACAAAGTGATCATGATGAGTATGGAAACTTTAGTAGTGGTGATGGTGCAAAAGAAAAGAATCTGAGATTTGACATGACATATGTCTCTTCTATAGCTGAGACAAAGCTGTTCTAAAAAACCTATTGATTTGTAGACCTTGGTGATTGCTGAAGGTCTTCGAGGATCAAGCACTCAGGCTGAGTTGGTCCATAACAGCTGGCTGTTGCACATGATGGGGTGATCTTTCTGCTTGCAAGCTGAACTCAGTTATATGACAAACTCCTCTGTGCCACTTTTTAAGTGACTTTGCAGTGCCTTCTGTTAGTGAGACAACTGTTAAGTCTGTTACTTTGTCCTTAGGAAGCCTGCTCTTACATAGCACTCATCTGTATTGAAAGACTGAGCACTGCAGATGCAATGTGACTTGTAAAGTGTTGTGGCTGTGGAGTGTGTGCTTCAGTTCTGGAACAGCAGTCCCCACTACAGCCCAAAGCTGAGACACAGACCAGATGATCAAATTACAAATTTTAGAAAGTTTAAAACTTGCCAAGCTTTTACCTTTCCTCTCTTCTGTTTCTGTCATCCATAGACATCTGAAGTAAAAACATGCTGAATAGCCACTTTAAGTTTTTCCGTATTAATCTGTCAAGTGTGTGTGTGTTCTGGGTGGGATTTTCAATTCCTACCGTTATTTTTTGAAGTTTTCCGAACTAGTCAACCTCACATCCCAGCTATAAGGACAATACGCCCAAAATATTGTGCCTCTTGTATTTGACAGAATTTCCTTTGAAAGGCTAGGGCAAGTCTTTACCGAAGTAGTTACTGAGAGTATAATCAAATAATCTACTACTGCTGTACTTCCCGATGTAACCTTTCCATCCACTTGTTAACTGAATGCTATGGCAGGCACCAGGTGGTTTGCTGCTATGCTACTGATGACGCTTGAGTGACATTTGCAAGCACAAAGCTATTGTCAATACACTCCTTTCATAGTATCAAGTCCTTACTGTATGAAGGAGTTAGTCAAATGTCAAATAGTTTTGTGCACTCAGATGTTCAGTGTAACAGGGATTTTTGAAGTAGGCTAGAAAGACCAATCTATTTATTTGATGTCATGGAATGGTTTGATGCCACTTTTAAACTGGAGGTAAAGATTTCAAATGGTACTGGTGTTTGTACAAGGACAGCCCTGAAAGAAACAGATATCTGATGAGGTGCTCCTGAATGTGAGAAGCCAGATATGACATGCTGAGTATGCATTTGCAAAGAGATCCAGCTGTGGTGAGTGTAGAGCATCTCCTCTTGGGTTGAAACACTGTACTTCTATTTCCAGTGCTTGGTAGTCTTTTTGTGACATGTTAACCACTGGAAGGAGAAATCAAAATAAACGCGCTTGACTGTGAGGTTGTAATTATTCTCCTGTGGTCCAGTATAGTAATAGTGGCTCAGGAGCATTTTTGCTTCTGCTTCTTCAAACTAATGCATCTGAGTGCCCACCTCAGCTGTTCACTTCTGCTCAGAAGAGAGTCAAGGAAAATGAACTGTAAGTTAGAAACACCCTGTCTACTTACATTTAGCCCAGGAACTGAATAAATTTGTCCACAGTGTAAGAGAAAAGATGAGGTGCTCTGCAGCTTGTTGGTCAAATGGAAATGGAGCAACATGAAGTTCAGGCTTTGCCATTATGTCTGCCTTTGCATTCAAGGCCACTAATGATGCTTTTCTTCAGTGTTCAGAAAGATGGCCTCAGGTGCTGGTTTGAAAGTTGATCCTTGAGTGGAACCACGGAGGCAGCGCTTTTGCCAGTTGAAGAATTTGCTTAACATAACCCAAGTATAGATTGTTCCCAGCCACATCTTGGCTTAGTGAGAGCTGTAAAAGAATTGTCACTCTGGCTCAGGATCGTGCAGCTTCACTGCAGTTACTGAGATAAAGGGCAGTGCTGTTAAAGCGCAAAGGCTATGCTATAGACTGTGACAGTGGTGCTATGTGAAGTCCCCAGATGAAGTCTTCTGAGAGGCCAGTGTAATACATTCCTGCCTGTCTGGAAACAGGAGTACTGCCACAGCTGGGTGGGAGCCAGAGGTCAGCTATGACCTTCTGTTAGATAGGGGTTAGGCCAGTGAAGAAAGTGTCTTTTAGGCTAAAAATCCTAAATCCTTAAGTAGCTTTGTCAGGTCTTGTGCATCTTCATAAGACTGGTGTGGTTGTTCTCCTCTCTTGTTCTCTAGAAGCCAGATCTGGATCTCACACCTTCCCACACTGCTATGCCATGCTTTCTCCTAGCTGTGGTCACGGGATCATGCCAGTGGCAATGATCATTTGATCTCTCTGCTGCTGACCAGAACAGAGATATCAAGAGCTCCTAAAATTAAGTGGCTAGAGAGGCTGCAGTAGTGCTCTGCAGTTGAGAAGGCTATCCAAAGAGATGCCATGCTGTTGTCAGGGGCTAATTCTCCAGCTGCAGCCTGGTTCTGCTGGTAGTCCTCTGTCCTTTGTTTCTGTGCCCATTTTCCAGTTGCCTGGTACAAAATAGGTGATGGTGGATCAAATAGTGCTTGCTTTCTCACTTCACGTATCCAGGTTTTTGGGATACAACTGCTCTGAAACACTTCTGATTTAAGTGCATGAAAGGGCGATAAAATAGATAGTTTATCATTAGTCTGTAACCTGCAGGTAATATTCATCCACAGATACTGTGACAAGGAAGGTGCTGATGAAAGTCAGTGGCTTGCTGTATATTCAGTGGTGCAGCCACTCCTACAGTGGGAGACCATAATCTTCCACCTCTCTTAAGCTTTAAAAGTGTGTTTGACCTTTAAAGTCTATTTATAATGACTACTTTAGAGGCATATTTAAGAATGCAAATAACTCTGAAAACAAATCAAATACATACAATTTGACTCCCAGCAGTAGGAACTATTAAGGAAAGATCTAATCCATCCTCCCATAACTGTGAATGTGTAAACAGGTTTGCAAATTTAATTTCTTAGATTAAAAAACAGCTTTCAGATTAATACTTATTAATTCTCTTTCAGTTAAAAATAATAATATGGTGTTGTAAGCAAGCTGTGGTCAACTTGGCAATTAATGAGAATGATGAATCTAAAAATCCATTTTGCCTAGTATGTTGTTCCACACAGTGAAATGAAATATCAACTAGTGCCCCACAAATAATTGATTTGGTCACTACCTAGATCAAAAGATTTAAAATTGTTTTGTGTGTAAAAATAGAAAACAATATTAAAGTTTTTGTGTGAAATAAAAATACTCAATGTTTTGGATCTTCCTGTTAGGAAGTTTTCCTCTGAGGTCCTGTGACCTACAGTTCCATGGCTGTGATTCAAACCTCTTTTTTAATCATTCTTTTATCCTAAGCATCCCTCCTTCTTTTTAGCTAACTTCCACGTTTGACAACAATATTAGACTATTTATCCAGTTGATTAAAAACCCAACCAACTAAAAAAAAACCCAAGACATTTTGAATTCTGTCCTCTAACAGAATTATTGTCCCTTCCAAGTTGATGTATTAGAAGAAGTTGGTGTATTCACTATACCAAACTGAGAAGGTGTTTTCACTATTCTAAGACAGTAGTGAATAAATGGACTAATGTAGAACTCTGTGATACCCTTGTGGAACCACAGTCTTTACATGTCCCCTGCAGTTTGACTGTGGCCAAGTGATAACTGTTTTCAGAATATGGTATCCCAGTTAGTGTTTTTACCCAGCTAATAGTAACTTCCTACAGTCCTTTAGCTTGCTTAGGAGAACGCTGTGAGACCTCAGACCGAGCGTATGTATCCATGATATGCAAGGCTTGTGCTCTCTTTCCTGAGCAAGTGATGCCTTCCTGTGGTAATATTCTAGTTATGAATTTTCTCAGCCAGTCACTGTTAAGCCACTATTATGTGTAATTTTGATTGTAAGTTTATGCTTACAGATTCTCCTGCTGGCACTTTCTTACTCTCAGCCTTGCTGTTCAGGTATTGCAGGATGCTCTGCAAATAGACTTGCTGTTCTTCTTGTTGCTCCTTCTATAGCCTTGCTGTTGGATAACACAACTCCCCTAGTTTATCCCTTGCACAGATCTGTTTTTATACCTACCTGTGGACTTTTGCTACCAGTCTCACGTGATTCTAGTTCAAAACCCAAGCCTCACAGCAATCTTATGTCCAGAAATGACCTTCCCCTCCTTTAAGAGGAGCCCATCTCTTCTCCACAGAACTTTACTTGAAATGTGACTTCACAGCTGAGAAAACTAAAGGCTTTCTGACAACGTTATCTCTTCCATCAACAGAAATAGTTGAATACAGCATCAGTTCAGTCCCCAAATCTTTTATTACCAATCCCACATGGATATTGTCCCTCTTTCCTGCTTGGGGCTATTCCTGTGAGCAAGGGAGAAGATTCAGTGGGAGGGATGGAGCTCAGCAGGCTTTCTGAGAGATGTTTTGCGGTGTGGCTGCTGGTTACTTCATTCATTTGAGGACATGTCACAGCTACCACCATTTGTTTTCTCTTTGGAGTATCCAAAGAGTTACTGAGGATACTTCCTCAGTATGAGTCAACACAGCATATCGTTCCTGTTCTTAATTTTTGTAGCAAATTATGACCCTCCTCTGCCTTGCTAATTCTCTTGTATTATCAAATAAATGCAGTATGGCTGAGCCAAGAAATCTGTTTGTGTGGGCACGAACGTGTAGCAAGTTCGTAGACCCTAATGTCTTCTCATAACATATAAAGCATAGACAGGAGGAATTTTTGCAGGGCTTTAAGCAAGCACGGGTGGGTGTACTCCCCACTGAGCAGCCATGTGGCATTGTGCAGTTAT